GGTGATGTTTTAGTTGGGAACCAGCGGGGTTTTTTGGGGTTGGGAATCTTGGATATCTATGAAATATCTATGTTCTATGTTTTTGAGTCTCGAATATTATCTATGACAACCTATGAAGGTTATACTATAGTGAATTTGATTTTCAAGGGAGACCAGCAGGGAAAACTGTGAAAACCCACCGGGTTGTTGCAAGGCATAGAAAATCCTTCCCAATGCGTGTGTTGTTATCCCAAGATTGGTCAATAGGTTGGATTCCTATTCTCAGTTCTCACCCAGAATTATGCTAACAGTAACTGTCCCAACCCTTGAACACATTAAAGAAACTGTTTTTGAAGTTGGTGGTGCCTGTATCAAAAAAAATGTGGTGAAAAACTGAGCTGGTTATCAAAATGATATAAATCCCATACCCTTGGTTAACAAGCATCCCACGATTTCCCATCGATTCAGTACTGGTATCAGCTGGCCATGGCTGAACAAAAATCGGGATTTTTTTCAGAAGACACCTATAATGGATACTCAAAAAACAAGCCACCGGCTCATGTTTTTTTCTCCAAGATTAGCCACCCAAAAAACTTCCACCACGATGATTTCACCATTTCACCAAGCAGGATTTGAGGGCTCAAACGTGGCGAGCCGTAAATTCCTTGAACTAAATGGAGCTTTATAATTGGCTGGGAACATCATCTTTTTATATCTATTTATATATATATATATCTATAGATAAGTAGTACTTAATAGTATTTATATATATATATATATATCTATAGATAAGTAGTATTTAATAGTATTTATGTATATATATATATTTATATATTATCTTTATAAATGGTAGACGTTCCAGCCATTGATGACACCGGGTCGGGTCACTGGGTCGGTTTTGCGCTCGCTCTGATCAGGCCGGAGACGTCCCTCTCGTCGCGATATCGAACTCACCTGAGGGCTCCGGAAAAAAAGTGATGGCATCGGCTGGAAAGAATCCTCAAAGGATCGATGTGGCTAGTCACCATGAATCCATGGATAATCGATGGATAGTCATTAGTCACAAGAAAAAACCATTATTAACCACTATTAACAACTACCGGTTGGTGGTTTGGAACCATGTATTTTTATGACTTTCCATCATATTGGGAATGTCATTATCCCAACTGACGAACTCCATCATTTTTCAGAGGGGTAGGTATACCACCAACCAGTTTAGTTCATAAGGAATGAATCAATAGTTAACCTGAAACATTCGATAGTTCATGTTTTTTCACTCACCGATGACCATGGAATCAATACAACTTTTTAACCGTCGCACAAATGAGGAAACTGCAAGTTGTAGCACTTACATGCACTTACGTTTTATTGGCCCTCCCAGGGAGAGTATTTTTTTTATATGAAGCTATCTTCCACAAAGCTTAGTATTTTTGTTCCTAGCTGCAAGATTCCTACTGGCTATTGGTCGTATCCCCTTTGATGTATGGGTTGATCTTGGATTAGGGCATGCCATGTATGCCTAGATTCATGTTTAGATCGGTGCTTTGAAAACAGGTTACCCTCTTCTGAACGAACTTCGATGCGGAAAACCTGGCATTTTTAGATGATGTTCATTGATTTTCCTAGGGAAACCATGGGTTTTCCATATCTTTTTGCATGTTTACCCCAGGGTGCCATGTGATTGCAATATGGGGATGGCCGGCTCTGGCAGGGTCGCCAAAAGAAGCGATTGTGTCAGGCAAGGTTCGGGGCACACAGGGCGTTTTGGGATGTTTTGGGGCCTAGTTCTGGAAGTTTTCTTATCCCATAGGATCCATGTATGGTATATATGCTAACATTTGGGGTATATTGATGGTAAATGTTACCATATATGGCATACATGGATCCTATGGGTATGGGAATGATTCATCATCCATCCTCCCAAAAAAAATAGTGTGTTTCAGTTGAGATCAAACGCATTCAACATTAATGTGCTAAACGGTCACCAACCCAATGGTCACCACATCCCAAAAGAAAACCGCTTCCGGTGATTGAAACCATCCCCAGTCATGGAGCCGGTTTACTACGGAGCCAGGTATGCACGCGGCTGCTTTAGGAGCGACGGCGAGGGATTTGGGACGTTGATTGATGTGGATATCAGATTATATTGATTTATATATATATATATTAATATATATTGTCTGGTTGGTGGTTTGGAACATTTTTTATTTTCCATAATATATGGGATAATCCTTCCCATTGACTAATATGTTTCAGATGGTTTGAAACCACCAACCAGATTATATTGATTTATATATATTGTATATGGCATTACAGTATATGTTGTTATATCATCAAAGACTATTGGGATTGAATGTGATTCTATCATCAGAACTATGAGGATGGTATGTAATATAATTAATGATCAAAGACTATTGCGACGGAATGAAACAACATATAGAAATATTTCAGCTGCTTTCGTTGTTTTTACAAATTGTGTGACGTGCTCTCCCTTTTTGGCCCCAAGTGATAACTCCAGTGGTTCATGTGAACACGCTCTGGCATTCCAGTGGGAAACGGAAGGAATCTGAGCCTGGAAAGTTTCAGTTTCAACGCAACAAACCATCATCAAACAATATCGAACAAGCAGAGTCAAGCAAGTTCCGGCTCCAAAACTGCAGTCCCACTTTTTTTTATCAACATCAAAATATATAAAATTCATTGAAAATCCTGAAATTTTGAGGTATCTTTGAGGTATCTTTGAGGGATCTCCAGACGATTTGCAAGACTTCAGCGTAGAATTTCCAGGACAACTGGGGCCCAACAAGCCTTGCCACACCGTGGCAGACGTAGGGCTTGATGCGTCTCTCGGCAGCCAACCTGCTTCGGCGGAACCATGTTTCGGATTTCTTGGGTTGGTATAGGTCGAACATGACCAAAATGATAGTATTAATATGATGTTTGTCTGAAAATATGGTATATTCCCAATTATAGCCATTTAGTAGGGATAATGATCCGACAAACCATTGGGTGTAGGGGTACGCTATTTTCAGACAAACCCATATGATGTTTATCCTTTTATTTGGATTATTCTGGATTAATTAATATGTCTTAAGATGTATTAATATGCACTAATTTTGATGAATATGTATGATATAATATGTCATTATCATCAGATGAGGCATGTGTTTTTTTGCTGTAACATAGTATTTATACGATTTAATAACATCAGCCATGATTTGTTGAATCGTATTCATAGGATTTAGTCATATTAACCACCATCATCCACCATCCTGTTTGATTTAAACTGTTAGTATTGGGTCGAGAATGTCAAAGCTAAAACTAATATAAACTACTGGTTGGTGGTTTGGAACATTGCTTGTATTTTTCCATATATTGGGAATAATCATCCCAACTGACTAATATTTTTCAGATGGGTTGAAACCACCAACCAGACTAATATTTTGTGTTTTTGTTTGCATTTAAATAAATCCTCATATGTTTGGGGTGCCCAATTTCAACACATACCCACAGGAGCAGGGCCACCAATCTCCAAAATTGAGACGTGACCATTGAAAGTGCTTATCCCAAGTGAAAAAAAATAACAACATGTAACGAATAATAGCAGAGGTGGAGCCACCATAGCAACAGTTGCTCATGGTTGTTGATTTGCAGATAAACCATGACCTGTGTATACAAAGTAAGAGCGAGGAGTTCCTATTGCCAATTTTTGACTAGCAGATGGTAATTGGGTGTGTTTCAAAACATCCAAAATATAACCCCCAAATCCCATTTCTATCCATTTCTTACCATTTCGTACCATGTACCATCTGGTTATTTAACATAGCCATGGAAAATCACCATATTTAATAGATAAACCATCTATAAATAGGCCATTTTCCATGGCTATGTTAAATAACCAGATGGTATATCATCATTTTCCAAGCTGATGGAGGCCTCAAATCGTTGTTTTTCCTTCCCGATTTCCATGTCAGATTCTTGGTGATCTCCCTGTTCTCAACGATCACTGGCCATCGATGTGGAAACGAGAACGATTGGAGCTAGCGATTCCATATAGTTTTAAGGCCTATTTTTTAGGGAATATCCCCAGAAAATATGGCCACAAGTATGGTACTAACGTACCTCCAATCAATCGGTTCCTGAAATGGCCATTGATATGATTCTTGCTTTGTCTTGCACTTTTGGACCCCAGGACAGAACCAGTGGAGATCGTTTTGTTGTCGGAAGATCGGTCGCAGCAGGACGCGAGTCTGGAGCGTGGGAGCATTTTTGGAGAAATTCTTGGGATAAACCCACCATGGAATGGTTGGTAGAAGGAGGGATACGGGGATCTTCAGATAAGCAATACATATAGATTATGCATATGTATTATATAATCATATATATATATAATAATAATAATAATACAGAAAAGGACGCTGTGCGCCCGTGCGTTTTGCACCGCTTTCCTTGCAGTGTTTTGCAGTGTTTTCCTCCTGCAGTGTTTTCACATCATCAAAGGGCCACAATAGGCTACAATATGCCCAAATATGCCAAAATAGGCCACAAAGGTCCAAATAAACAAAAAAAAACAAAAAAAACAAAAAAAAAACAATTTCTAGAGACTGTAGGCATTGGGGGCATGTCTTTGTTTTTTCTTTTTTTTTTGGTTTTGTTTTTTTTGTTTTTTTTTGTTTTTTTCAGGCCCCAAGGGAAGGATGCAGAGAGTTGAGTCTTTTCATGCCCCAAGGGCAGGATGCAGAGAGTTGAGTCTTGTCATTTGTTTTTCTTCTTGCCAGTCAATGCATATGTCAAAACAGAGAATGTGTAAAGAGGAGTGCAAAAAGCGCACTCTCACAGTCCCCTGTTCTGAGAGCGGGGAACTGTGAGAGTGCGTTTTTTTCACTGATGTTGCATCAAGATATCATATATATGCCAACGATATTGCTGCAAGATCTCATCTATATGATATATATATATGCATACCTCAAAAATTTCATCCAGCTGGGTCACAAGAAACAAAACATATTGCACATGCACAG